TTAGTGGTCCCCGGGATTTAAAACTATGAGTTTGGGGGTCCCTGAGGTCCAAAAGGTTGGTGACCCCTGGCTTAGGGGACACACACACACACACACACACAAATCACAAACCCTTTAGAATACATAGTGAGGGGAAAAAGAATCTTGAGAGTTAACAAGGTTGATGCTACATGATATAAAGCTATTATAGAATCTAGTTGTTCCACTTCAGATACCACGAAGCTTCCTCACGTAAAGTAACAAAGAAAATTGATCATGGAGAGGATGTAGAGCATCCCTGACAATCCTGCAGACCCCGGTCAATGCTGAGATGAATCCAGAATAAACGACCTAGAAAATATCAGTCTCCCTAAAATAATCACCCAAATGTACTCGGTCACTCCACTTATGATTGGAAGCGGATAGAGAAAAATTAGAACGAATACAGCAAGAACAAGCGAGCTTCCTCAAATTCTGACAAATTCTATCCTGATAATCTTTCGTGTTCTTTGATCAGTTCAAAAGCTGCAGCTTCTTCCAGGCTCCTACTATATACCATAAGGACGTTTTTCATTATTAGAGAAAATTGCTTCACAGAAAATAACTAGGCTTTTTGTCTGGAAAGCACAGCAGCTTTTGCAAACATTCACCATTCCTGGTAAGGAGTGATTTAAGATTGTTTTTCTGCTCTGGGATTGAAGAAGGCAAGATATTTCAGAGGTAAAAGGGACTTCTCAATACTCAATTACTGGTGGCTTTATGGACATGTTCCTGCTATTTTCTGGCCAGCGATTCGGAAGGAATTTGTCACTGACTTCTTGTATTTCTCGCCTATGCGCAATCTCTTCTATATATAAAAGCCAAGTACCACTCACTCATCACGAAATCTCCAGAACCGTAAAGCCTACAAACTTGAAATTTGGCCCGTATGTTCCTTTTGGCTTCTAGGTACTCGCTAAGAAAGGATTTTTCGAAATGACCATCAGATCATTCCTATTCCTTAATACAGCAATTAACACGCTCTGATGCTAAGGAGTTCTACTCCCCCTCCACACCTGAAAAGAACTCTGTTCCAACTGCCAGTTGCCTCACATTCCGTTACCTCAGTTCAAACCGGCAGATATTCTACTCCTTCACTCAGGAGTGGCCTGGGGCTCCTTACAGTACTAAATGTCGGTACCTCACCAAAATGTCTTCGCCTTCGACCTATGGAATTGCTTACGGACTCAAGGCAGCGGGAGCGATATTCCCTTACGTGTTTCAATCACTGACCACCACTGAGCCAACAAATTGTAAACCAGATTTCTCCTGCACAGCCCAATCACAAAGTTTCGTCGTGAAACACGGGTATCCAGCTAGTTTCCTAATATATACTACAGTCTTTGCATTCCCTTGTAGTCTCCTCTCCACGTAATACCAAGGCCACCTCTGCTATGCTTGTTTCTGATGTTCTTCAGGTTTGGCTAAGGGTCTGCCATCTGCTGTACTGATAGTCCTTGACAATAACTTGAAGTTATGATCACACTGAGAAAAGTGACTTGCCACCGGTCCTCAGACTTGGAACTGTTGCACAGCCCCGCTAATCAAAATTATTTGGAAAAGGGACAAGGAGAAAAACTCTGCCCAAATTTTCCTTCCTTCCTTCCTTCCTTTTCTTTCCTCTTTCTTTTTTTCTTTCTTTTCATTACAAAGTTTACTCATTCTATCTTAGTGTAATATTAATTTGTTGAGAAAACCTGATTTCTCTCTCTCCTTCCCTCCCTCCCTCTCATGGGTTGCCCTCTCCCCTCTTTGAAAGAGCTTTATAGCTCCCGCTGCCTTAAGAAATTTCAAAACATTCTCAAAGATCCATCTCATCCTGGGCACCCTTTTTTTGAACTATTACCATCTGGCAGACGGTACAGGATAATAAAAACAAGGACAAATAGGCTGAAAAACAGCTTCTATCCCAGGGCAGTAACTCTGTTGAATTCTATTGTATAGTGCAGTATTGGTGCGGTATTGGGGGTTTTCGGTTCAATGTGTGGAGTGCAAAGGATGTGTGTTTGTGTTTATTTTCATGGTCATAATGTACACTGAATATGGTATTTAATTTCATTGTACAACGTGCAATGACAATAAACTAAACTCTCTCTTCCCCCCCCCTTCCCAACCTACCTATCTAAAGGTAATAACACATATTACCAATAAAATTCTAAATGAACAATTTAAAATGAGAGTTGGAAAAAATACAATAGTTATAGGATAAAAAACCACAATAATTTAATACATAAGTATGTAAAATAGAATAACATAAAATTATGCATTCTGTATACTCTCTTCTTTCTTTCTTTCTTTCTCTCTTGTTTTCTCTCTTCCTCTTTCTTCTTTTCCTTCCTTCTTTCCTCTCCCCTCCTCTCCTCTCTCCTCCCCTCCCCTCTCGTCTATTATTTTTACAAATTATCCAAGGCAGCAAACAGATTCAACCCACTGTCTTCCTTCTATTTTCCCACAGAACAAGTGTGACAGGGGAGTTAGGCTGACAGAGTGACTCGCCTAAGGTCACCCAGCTGCCTTTCCTGCCTAAAATGGGACTAAAACTCACAGTCTCCCCCGCTTTATAGTTTGGTGCCTTATACCTCGTAACTTCAACTACCATCTGTGAAAACAGAATCCAAGCCAAGCCTAAAGCATGTAGCTTGCAAGACCTCAGAAGACAAACATCTGATCAGGACACTGATTACTCAATCACAACCTTTGGACAAGGGGAAGTTGTGTTTTCAGTGGCTCTGACTTTGCCACAAGATCTTGCAATAGTTTTCTAGTGCTCGTGATTAAAATCACATTTCTGACTTTTCCAAATGCTTCTGAAGCAAAGAAGGGCCATGAAACAAGACCTCTGCATTGGAGACCAAGGCTAAACTCCAAGAATGGTTTGCTCTAGAAACCACAGTGTCCAGAAAAAGAAAACCAGTGGACAGAAGAGAGCAAAATGGTGGCAGTGAACATCTATTTTCTGAGCTCCCCCAGAAGGATGTTTAAAATGAAGGTGCCACCAGTTTCAGAATCCCTGAGCCTGTTTTGACACAATGCATTTAAATGTTTGTTAACACAAGGTGCAAATTATTAAACTGGATGTGCTGTTCAACCCAGAATCACAGGAGCCTAGGATCCTTTTACTCAAATGGTTGTCCTTTCCATTTTTGAAAACCTCCAGTGATGCAGCAACCACAACTCCAGGAGGCAAGCGACTCCATTGACTAATTGTTCTCACTATGGTAACATTTCTTTTTACTACTAGGTTGGATCTCTCTTTAACAAGCTTCCACCCATTATTTCTTGCCCTATCCTCTGGTTCTTCAAAGAATAAGCCAACCCCTCTTCTCTGTGACAGCCCCTCAAGCAGTGGTGGGATTCAATTTTTTTTTACCACAAGTTCTGTGGCTTGGTGGGCGCGCTTTGCACACGCATGTGCCAAACACACGCTTTACATGCGCGCAGAGGGTTTGCTACTGACCTTCTCCTGCAATCCTGCAATTTCTGTGTGTCTTCAACAGCTGACACACGACAATCCGCTGTGCCGCGCGAAGCAGCTGAGCTTCAAAACCAGGAAATAAAGGTCAGAATAGAGCTGGGGTGGACGACTGGGCATATCCAGCAGCTGATCGTTGGAGCGAACTGGTTCTCTCACAGATTATCCTCGGAGCTACTGGTTTGGTTGAACCGGGCCAAACCGGTAGAATACCACCACTGTCCTCAAGTACTGGAAGACAGCTATCATGTCCCCCCAATCTTTCCTTTCAGTAGGCTACAGCTACCTAGCTTCCTCAACCGTTCGTCATACGATTTAGCCTTCAGATCCTTTATCGTCTTTGTTGCTTTTCTCTGCACTCGTTCTAGAGTCACCTCTTTTTTATAACGGGGTGACCAGAACTGGACACTGTATTCCAAGCGTGGTCTCATGAGTGCGGAATAGGCCCACAAATAGCAATAGCACTTAGACTTTTGTAAGTCTTATAAGAGTCATGGTAGCACAGTGGTTAGAAAGTATTACTGCAGGCTACTTCTGCTCACTGCCGGCTGCCAGCAGTTCAATGCTGACCAGCTCAAGGTTGACTCAGCCTTTTATCCTACCGAAATTGGTCAAATAAAGAGCCAGATTGTTGCGAGGGCAGTATGATGACAGTATGGAGAAGTATATAAGACTAAATGCTATTGCTATTTCTGTATACTGCTTCACACCACTCTCTGAGCGGTTTACAATGTCAGCCTATTGCCCCCAACAATTTGGGTCCTCATTTTACTGACCTTGGAAGGATGGAAGGCTGAGTCAATCTTGAGCTGGTCAGCATCAAACTGTTGGCAGCCGGCAGTCAGCAGAAGTAGCCTGTAGTAATACGTTCTAACCACTGCGCCACCATGACTCTTATAAGACTTACATAAGTCTAAGTGCTATTGCATCAGGATCGAACGCCAGGGTGTAGGCAGAGTTAGCCTGCAATACTGCATTCTAAACACTGTGCCACCACAAAGCCTTGCAAACACACATGGTAACACACAAGCTTCACTTCTTCAGGCTCCCGCCAAACCCAAGAAGAAGCAGTTTTGCCAATGTATTAAAGCTTATGCAATCTGATATGGTGAAGCTTAGAACAGTTTCAGATTTTAAGCGAAGAAATTTCCATTCTAGGCTTACAGCATAGAAGGCAATTCGCCCCATGTACTTCGTTATGCTCATTACCAACCAATGAAGTTTCCCCTGAAATACCTTAAACAGCAAATTGTCACACATCGCGCTTGATTGCTTTCCTCAATTATTTATACAATTCTGTATTTTACAAGGGTTAAGTATTGATTGCTCCTTGCTTGCTCTTCAAAGGGGAGATGTAGCTATCGGTTGTTACACAGCCAGGGGGAAAAACATAAAATGAATTTTTCACCAACTCTGCTCAGCAAGGTTTTAGTTTTGGAGCTACATTTTAATGCCAATACATTCTGGGATAAATGGCACATGAGTTTCTGGAAAGGGAGTCCTCATTTACCTTAAAAAATGCAAACCACTTGTAGTTATTCAAGACAATTTCGAAGCCCTGGTTGTAAATTATGGTGAAAAAGCCGTAATTCCCTTGATCATCCTCAGCTACGTCAAGTTTCTGAAGATGTACAGTTATTTTTTTCTCCACAGGACCTAAAAACGAAACAGCAAAGAGTTTTTAGTAACTGACGATGAAGAGCTGACATAGCAGTAACAGTGTTAATTGCCTATTTCTTAATATGCAATATTATTTTTAAAAAACCTGTTTTCATCTGGCCTTATTTTTAGCTGACTGAATTCAGACCTGAGATTAATTGGTAAAAAAAAAAGCAGACTTTAAATGTTTGAATAAATATGCAAGCACATAAATCCCCCTTTTCCAATTTTGAATATTTTTTGGGTCCTTTAACAGTTTTATTGTCTATCTGTTTGAATCTAAGCTGAAGAACCACATCAAAATATATACTAATTGCTCTGCTGATAGTAGATAGATTTGTAATAACTCTTTGACAGAAATTGGATTCTATCACATAACCCGTCATATGGTTAAACCAAGTACAGTATAGTATCTATAGAAAAATTAACACCTAAAATACGTTAATATGGCAGACACAAAAGGTATTTACGATATGTGGTACTTTTTATGAATATTATTGATAAAGATAAGAAGAAGATTCTTCAGCACTATAAAATACTCTGGTCAAATATTTAATATAATATAATTTTATGTATCATTTTTACGTTTATTACCTTTTTATTGTGTTCTGTTTTTAATAGAAAAATAGAATTGTTTAGTTATTTTTTTGGTGTATTTGTGAGTTTATCTTTCATTGTATAGCTTGGCTAGTTTAATGTTCTGAACATTACCGTCTTTTCAGTTTGACCTTATATCAAATGTTTCTTTTATTCATTTTACTTCTTTTTGCTTTGATCATATTTCTTTTTGATGATGTCTTTAGAAGTTAATATTGCAGTGTTATTTTAAATGACGCCTACAATCTATAAAGGATTTTTTTTAAAAAAAAAAAGATTATGCTACTAACATCGTCTTCCTTTCTTTATTTTTAAACAAAGCTTTAAAATGTAATTTGGCATTTAAAAAAAAAGATAAAACCTCCTTCTAGTTGAGCTGAAATGCTCAACATTTTATGCAGTTCTTGGTATTCTGCAAGCTTGCTTGTTTGCTTGCAGATGTTTCATTACCCAACTAGATAACATCATCAATGGAGTCTGTGGAGATTTTCAGTCATCCAGGTCATGGTTATCCCAAAGGTGCTTTTTCAAGAAGCAACTGGACTTTCTTTGTTTTTCCTTGAAGACATTTCACTTCTTATCCAAGAAGCTTCTTCAACTCTGACTGGATGGTGGGGAATGGAAGGATTTATATTCCTTGCAGACAGCTGGTCATTTGCATTCTTTTAGCAAGTTGTTAAGGCCACCTGGAGGTTTATCTGTGTCCTCAAGGTAGAGCAAATGGGTGTAGAGCCTTCTTGGTAGCCTTCTACTTTCAGCAATTCCAGCAAGGCTCCAACACCCATTTGCACTATTTGGGTGACCTTGAGAACATAGATAAACCTGCAAGTGGTCTCAACGACTCTCTAAAAGTCCAGTTGCCTTTTGAAAAAGTACTTGGGGATCGTCAGTGCAAATGAGTGTGGGGCAATGAAATTGCTCTGTGAGCGAAAGGGACAGCCTCTAAATTTAATAAAGAGAATAAATAAATGTCTCAAAGCAAGCGCACCAGGAACTTCACAGCTCAACTGGGAGCTACAATATTGTCTTCTATTGCTCAAGCATCTAAACTAGGGGTAGCAAATTCGATTTCATTGAGAGCTGCATTAGGGTTGTATTTGACCTCGGAGGGCTGGGGTGGGTGTGCCCAGCTAGATATCACTAATGTCAGGGGGTGCCTGTGGTGGTCAGAGCGCTCTGCCAGCAAAAATGGGCTCCCAAGCTCTGTTTTTGGCTGCAACGGCCTCCTGCAGCCCTCCTGCAGTGAAAATGGAGCACGGGGGAGCTGCATATGCCCCGAGCTTAGTTTTGCTGGTGGAAGCTGCAAGAGGTCATCGCAGACGAAAATGGAGTCTGGGAGGGACGTGCACAGCCTCTGTTTTCACTGGCAGAGGCACTGCGGGCTGGTCATTTATTGTTTCCAGGATGGCCCCATGGGCCAGATCTAAGCATCCCACTGGCCGGATCCATCCCATGGGCCTTGTGTTTGACACCCCTGATCTAAACCCAGACTGTTTTCTAGATTATTATCTAGAAATGAAGCATAATCTCTCAATCTGGGAATTTATCAAGACCACCGTGCTTAGCTTGGTTTAAGATCAACCATGCCAATTAAATATGGTTAGTGGCTGAGTTGTATTAATGCTTCAATTTCAAATTCTAATGGTAACAATCTCACTTCTGGGGAAAGAAAATTCCAGAAGGCAGGTGCCACAGTAGAGAAGGCCAGCCACCTGGGACTCGCCCAAAGTGAGTGCCTAAAATGGATAACTACAACAAGTCTTCTCTGCCAGATCCATTGGAATGGATAGAGGTAAAGAGAGAGAGAGAGAGGGGAGGAGGAGAGAAAAAAGAGAGTGAATGAGAGAAAAAGAAAGAGAAAGAAGAGAAAGAAAAAAGAGAAAGAGGAGAGAAAAAAGAGAGTGAATGAGAGAAAAAGAAAGAAAAAAGAGAAAGAAAAAAGAGAAAGAGAGGAGAGAAAAAGAGAGTGAATGAGAGAAAAAGAAAGAGAAAGAAGAGAAAGAAAAAAGAGAAAGAGAGAGAAAGACAGAGAGGAGAGAAAAAAGAGAGTGAATGAGAAAAAAAGAAAGAGAAAGAAGAGAGAGAGAGAGAGAGAGAGGAAAAGGCGAGCACAAAAATCTGCTTACATTTCCTTAAAAGAAAAAAAAAACATTCACATGACTGAAATTCCAGCTGACTCAATCGTAAGTTTCAGTCGCAACAAGGCAAGTTTCATTTCTGTTACTTAAAGCTACAGAGTACAACTTTATTTTATTTTTTTCTTTTCTTTTACGGAAACAGCTGGCTGACTGCACCTCATAAAGCCCCCCGAGGGTGAGGAAATCCCACTGCCTAGATCTCTTGGTTAAAGGGCGTGCGATCACAAATTTAAGAAAAAACTTTACAAAGGAAAAATGTAAAATCAGTTCAGTTCCTAAACGATACCACCATTTATTTCCCTCTTTGTCCTCCTTTGAAAGTCTGGTTGAGCAACCCAGACCAGGAAGACAAAATGTTTCTAACTGCAACCCACCTGACACTGCAACCGTCATAAATATGAGTCAGTTGCCAAGCCTCTGAATTTTGATCAATTGGGCCATGAGGATGCAAGTGTGAAAATGGCCATAAGTCACTTTTTTCAGTGTCGTAACTTTGAATGGTCACTAAATGAACTGTTGTAAATCGAGGACACCTGTATTTACAATAATTGCAGCATCCTTTCCATCCACCTTGTGATAAGCAGTCAGTGGAGAAAACTGGATTCACTTAACAACCATATGATTCACTTAACAATCACAGTGACTCATTTAACAACCAAGGCCCAAAAAGTTATAAAATTGTGCAGAACTCACTTAAAAACCTCCTTGCTTAGCAGCGGAAACTGTGATCCTAATTGTCCTTGTAAATGGAAGACTATCTCTACACTCCCATAAGGAGCATTGGTTAAAAACCAAAAAGAGTTGAGAAATACAAGAAAAAGAATTCATAGTTCTGTTCAATGGAAATGTTTTCCTCCCCGCTGATCTCAATTATTACTATTTTTAGGGCAGTGGAGTGGCAATAAAAGAAAATGCTATTTATTTTTATATTCCTCTCCAAGGACTGCCTTCTCCCATCGTCTTCTGGAGGAAAATAACCTGCAAAAAATACAAAGCTAACTCATTTTGCATTAATGGGGATGGACTTCTCATAGCTATAAGTGATAACTGTCATTTTTAGGGACTTGAGAAGCTGATTTTTTGCAAATAAGCACCAAATAAGAGCACAGACATCCAGAAAAGAGGTACAAACCCAAAACAAAACAAAAAAAATAGCAATAGCAAGGATGAAGAAGAGGAAGTTTAAGAGGCATAACACTGATTTAGAAACCAATGAAATTTCTGCTTGAGATACGACGAGAGAAACCACAGCTCTTAACCGTGACTCTGGAACTAGCAACATACCTCTGATAATAAAAACTGCAAAGCAATTGTCCCCTGATCGTAAATATTCCCCAAATTCAGACTTTAGGTGGACTATGTTAATTAAAAGAAAAGTTAGTTGGGGGCAGGATATCAGTTGCCAAAGTTTTGAGCCATAAAAAAGGCATTGGTTTTACAATGAGTTAAATGAGGCTTCACCGGAGAGTTAAGTGCTGTTCCAACTATTCCGCCTTATGCACACAAACCGTATGGGCAGCTGATTTTGGTGTGTGTGTGTGTGTTTGTGTGTGTGTCCTGAACTAGCATTGAAACATGAGCTGAGCCTTGGCCATTTAAAAACCAGTGGACTTCAACTCCCAGAATTCCCCCCAGCCAGCATGGCTGGCTGAGGAATTCTGGGAGTTGAAGTCCATAGGTCTTGAGGTAGCCAAGATTGGACATCCCTGAAGATGGGATTAGTTCGGCTAGGGTATTGAAAAAGGGAAGATTTTGCTCTAGTTAAAGATTGGCAAGCCAAGTATTAACCAAGCCAAGGCCATTAACTGGGGGTGGGGTAAGGAAGCAGATTAAGAAAAGTGATAGGAAGAGGAGGGGTGGGTGGTGGCAACAGTGTGAGTGATGGTGTAGACATATTTATTAACTCTGTCATATTTGCCCTGCAATATCCTCAGAAATTCCTTTTTAAAAAAAGAGAGGGAGTCAAGCTACTCTCCAAAGCCCCTGAGGGCAGGACAAGAAGCAATGGATGGAAACTAATCAAGGAGAGAAGCAAAATAGAACTAAGGAGAAATTTTCTGATAGTTAGAACAGTTAATTAGTGGAACAACTTGCCTCCAGAAGTTTTGAATGCTCCAAAACTGGAAGTTTTTAAAAAGATGTTGGATAACCATTTGTCTGAAGTTTTCTGCCTAGGCAGGGGGTTGGACTAGAAGATCTCTAAGGTCCCTTCCAACTCTGCTATGTTATGCTGTTCTGTTCTGTTCTATTCTAAATTTATATGCTGCCCATCTCACTATCAAGCGACTTTAAGTTTTCCTTCCCAAACAGGGAACTACAAAACTTTTCAGAGTAACATCTCTGCTGAAGCAAGGCCACTCCAGAAATATTTCTCAAAAGCAACAGGTTTGTGGTTTGATACCTAAACGTATTTGCCAAGTTTGTGTATCGCTTCAATTGAAGTGGAAAAATGTGAGTTAGTGGGCAGTGAGTCGGAATGGAGGAAAAACTGTTTGCACAACCCAGATTGTCAAAACAATTCTTTTGTTTGCACAATCTACAAAATCCAAACCAATCAACGTATGAATCACAAGGGGGTGGCTGACTTCATCTTAAAGATGGTCATTGAGTTTCTACAATGCTGAATTGCAAATTACCCCATTCTCATTTTAACTTGGTTGAGCAGGATGGATAAAAGGCCCAGCTTGGCATCGCCCGAACTGTGTTTAGTTACCAACTTCCAACCAGCAATGTTCATACAAACCGGGGACGATGGGATTTGTAATTCAGTGGGGAGAGGCAGATGAAATGACTACCCCTCTCTAGTTGTGTTCAATGAGCTAATTATTTGGGGGGGGAGGAACTAGGATAGATTAAATCGATTGTCTATGGAGATTCTCAATCATCCAGATCATGATTGTCCTAAAAGTGATTTTTCCAAAAGGCAAGTGGACTTTCTTTGGCTTTTTTTCTTTGAGAAATCCTTCGCTTCTCAAGAAATGAAGTGAAGTGAGAAATAGTGAAGTGAAGTGAAATGAAGTGAGAAATAGTGAAGTGAAGTGAAGTGAAGTGAGAAGCTTCTTGGACCAGAGAAAAAGAAGAAAGAAAGAAAAACTTGGAAGCAAAGTTTCGTTTGAAATAAAACAAAACCCTCCAGTTGCCATTTGGAAAAATGGGAACTCCATTGGGAATCGTTGAACTTGAGTGTTTGTTTCCCTTTGGAAAGTTTTCATTCTTCTTTTTTTGTTTCCTGAAGAATAGAAGGGAGGGAGAGAGGGAAAAGTCAAAAGGCGACAAGCAGAAAGACGCGCGACTTACCCACGTCGGAACAATCGATCTCCCGGGTCGGGGGCCCCTGCCCGCTTCTCACCTGGAGCACCCAGGTGCCCTCCAGGTCTTCAAAGGTGCAGTTGGCCGGAGTGTCGGCCGTGCACGGGCCGAATTGCAGCAGGACGGCCAGGAAGAAGGAGAGCCAGGCTGCCAAGCGCGCCATGGCACCGTGCAGGGTGGAGAGAGGAGAGAGGGAGAGGCGGGCACGGAGGGTTCCTGCCGAGTCGTCTGCAGCCGGCGGGCTCCGTGTCACCGGAACAGCGGGGCTCGGCTAGGCCCGCCCTTGCGTGTCACATGTGAAAAGGGCCGAGGTTGTTTCTTCCCCTCCCCGGGCTCCGAGAGGTTTGGCATGGCGCCTCGGCTGCAGCGTGAGTCTACTATTCGCCTACTGCGGGGTGGATTCCGGGAACAGAGATCTACTTTGCACGTGTTTGCCCGGAATCGATCCGGTGACTTTTTTTTTTTTCCCCAGCTGGCTGTTTGCTTTCCGCTGGAAAGTTTGGCTCTCTTGCATTCTTCTTTTGAAATTGTTTATTTGTACATTTTTCCTTCTTTAAATTACATAAATGCATAATGAGCAGTCTGGATCCATTTGTTCATACAAAGTGTTAATAAACTGATAGTGAGAGTGATATTAATAATAACAACCATATTTTAAATACTAATAATTGCTTCTTTGTAATGTGATTTTTACATCATTTACTTGCTAATATGCAATAATTATAATACTGATGATAACAACAACAACAACAACAAGAAGAACGTATCGGGACTTACAAATTCAAGTTGAGCGACTTAGGAAAAAGAAATTGTGTGTTATCCCAATTGTAATTGGAGCCCTTGGAACAATACCTAAAGGGCTGCCTCACTATTTGGAAATCCTGAATTTATCAGACTTGAATACCCTGATTCTACAAAAAAACACCCTACTTGGAACAGCTTAATATCTTCCAACTCTACCTGAACAGTTCCTAGGTCCTTGGTTAGGACTCGAGCTGTTGAGCTACCAACCAGCCCCAAAGGCTGTGAATCTAATAATAGTATTAATAATAATATTAATAATAATAATATTACTAGTAATAATAATAATAATAGCAACAACAACAACAACAATAATAACTTATTCATTAAACATGAAACACATTCAACTGACCATTTAAAAATGTATCACAAATATTATTGACTGGTGCTGATGGTTGATACGGATCATATATTCATATGTAAAAGAGATAATATTAATAATAACTGTAGATTTTAAGATGCTTGGTTGATATCTAGGATGCTGACAGCAACCCCTATCAACCATCAGAGCCAGTCTCTGTGATATTTTTAAATGTTCAGTTGACTGAGTTTCATTTTTAATGAATCAAAGTTTATAATAATAACAAGAACTGTAATATTAATGTTTGCTTATATGTAATACAATTTCTTGCATTCTTTTCTTATATATAGTATTAATCTTTCATCTAGTTTCCACCTCTTTTATCCAACCATTGATAAAACATATCCCATGTTAAAAAGTATTCTGTTTCTTCCATATTCTTTATAATTAATGTTAATCTATCCATCTCTGCACAGTCTAACGTTTTTTCTAACTATACTCTCCTCTATAGGTGTGTCTCTGTGGCTTTCTAGCATTCTTGATGCTTCAGCTGATGGGGATGCGAAGTGGGACAATCCATCTTCAAATCGGTTTCCCAAGTTGGTTTGCAACAGCGGCGGGAATCAGAGAGTCATCAGGAGAGGGTATAGGGAGTCTTCAATTTACAATGGTTCATTTAGTGACCCGTTCAAAGTTACAACGGTGCTGATAAAAGTGACTTAGGATTGTTTTTCACACTGACAGTTTTTTTACACTTATGACCATTGCAGCATTTTCCCCCTCCCCACAGTCATGTGATCAAAATTCAGGAGCTTGGCAACTGACTCATATTTACAACGGGTACAGTGTCCTGGGGTCATATAATCCCCTTTTGTGACCTTCTGACAAGCAAAATCAATGGAGAAATCCGATTCCCTTGGCAGCCATGTTACTAAGTTAACAACTGCCGTGATTTACTTATCAACAAGAAAGATCGTAAAATGGGACAAAACTCATTTAACATCAGAAAATTTTGGGCTCGGTTGTGTGGTTGTAAGTCGAGGATTACCTGCACTGTCAGTAGGAAAGGAAAAGGGTCAAGAGCTATAAAAGCAGGAAAGTGCATCTGAAATTATGGGAGAACTAAAAAGAGCAAAAAGCTTTTAAGGGCCTTTGGCCAGGGCTGGGTTGACTTGCTCTGGCAAGAAAGCTGTATATGAAATTAGCTGTCTGAATTGCTCACCGTTGTTATGTTTTTACTCCTAATCACTGTCAAAACCCAGGTTTCCAGGCAATTTTGGTGCTCTTAAATGGCATCCTTGAATTAGGGGGGAAAAATAATTTGTGAAGAGTTTGTACAGTTAAGAATGAGTTGAAGATATAAGTGGGACCCACTGGCGGCAGGAAAATGTTGCCAAGCTATATTTGAACTCAAATTAGGCAAAGGTCTCTCTATTTAGAGCAGTGCTTTTCAACCGTGACAGCTTGAAGATGGGTGGATTTCAACTCCCAAGAATCGCCCCACCAGCAAAGCTTGCTGGAAGTTGAAGTCCACACACGTCTTAAACTTGCCAAGGCAGAGAAATATGGGAGGTTGATAAAGATAGGGGAAGTTTAACAATTGGATTTGCCATTAGTCATAAGACCCTGTGTCTTTTTGTTAGTCACTTCAGTTCTTACAGATAATGAGGTCAAGATAATCTGTGATGAAAAGTAGAATGCATATAGACTGTGGAAAATTACAACATTATATTGTATCTCACAAGGGGTTGCCACAAAGAAGAGGGACTCAAGCTATTCTCCAAACAGGGGTCGCCAACCTTTTGGACCTCAGGGACCACCAAACTCATAATTTTAAATCCTGCGGACCACTAATATGAATTTTGACTGACGGTGGCTGGCTGACATTTTCCCAGGGTCTGTGCAGAGACCCCGGGAAAATCCTAAAAAAAGTCTACAGGAAAATTCCCCACCCTGTTTTTCTACCAATCGATCATTCTTTATTTGGGATCGCAGGATACCGTCTCCAGCTCCCTTCTCAGGGCGGGGGGAGGGGTGGAGAGAGAGAGAGAGAGAGAGAGACTTTTGGCTTCATGCAAGGAAAGCAGCAGAAGCAGCAGAAGTCTTTCTTTCTCTCTCCCAAACTCCTCCAGAAATGAGTCTTTGCCTGCATAGCCTCTTGGAGCAGGATGCCTTGCAGGGTCCCAGACTCATTTCTGGCAGAGTTTGGGGGAGACAAAGAAAGACTTTTGCTGCTTTCCTTGTGTGCGGCCAAAAGCAGAAGAAGAAAGAAGCGGAAAGAAGCAGCCCGGTGGCCAGGCGAGGCATGTGGGTTGAATGGGGCAAGTTTCCCCCCTTCGCCCTTCCCCCTCTCCTCACTACCTCATGTTGTGTTGCAATGCAAGCGACACAACCCTTGTGTTCCCGTGGGCCATGTGGGCGGCACAGCCTTGTGTTCCCATGCAGCCTGGATTAATTGCTTTGGGGGGGGGGGGTTGACATATCTCTGTGACCCACCAAAATTTTCTCATGGACTACCAGTGGTCCCCGGCCCACTGGTTGGCGACCACTGCTCCAAAGCACCTGAGGACAAGAAACTATAGATGGAAACTAATCAAGGAGAGAAGCAACCTAGAACTAGGGACAGTGACAGTGAGAACAATTAATCAGTGGAACTACTTGCCTCTAGAAGTTGTGAATGCTCCAACACTGGAAGCTTTTAAGAAGAGATTGGACAACCATTTGTCTGGAATGGTATAGGTCTCTTGCTTGAGTAGGTGGTTGGACTAGAAGATCCCTTTTAGCTCTGTTTTTTGATTGATTGAAACTCAAATAAACTGGGAGAGCCATGAGTTCTAATACTGCCCTAGGTATGAAAAGCCAGCGTGGTGACTTTGAGCCAGTCTCTTTCTCTCTGCTCAACCTACCTCACTGGATTCTTGTAGGAAGAGTATTATATATTATTGCTACCTTGAGTTGTATATAAAAATGGGATATAAATAAATAAATACAAAGTAATAGATTAATGCTCAGGAAGCTGGATTTATGTAAGTACAATTCCTACAAACATCTTTGCCAGTTGATTTTTAGCATTCAACTCATCAGATACAGCTTTAACAAACTTTAGGTCAGGGATTGTGTGCATCATACATTAAAATGGAGCAAGGCGTCAGCACATGGGTGTGGCTGGCATTATAACTTTTTTAAAAAAATCTTTTATTAAATTTCCAAAAATAAAATAGTTGAAACATAAAATTCCAGGAAAAGTGGGGAAGGGAAAGTTTTAAAAGTGACATTTTTAAAAAATCCCATTATATTCTTGTTTTGACCACTTTGCTACAGACGCTCCTGATGACACCAAGGAGCATTTGGGGTTGTAGAGAAAGCATAAATGGAAGGACGTGGTCACTGCCTTCAATTCACATTCAAGCATGGTGTGTTTAGTTGTCGTTTATTAATAAGCCACTATTGGCTGGCTTTATAACGTTAAGATGGAGTCAAAAAAATGACATTGTCACCCAGAGCAACATCTACGCTGAGCATTCTGTGACACTCCTATCATAACTGAAAAACAATACAAGCTCGGTTTAATATTCATTTCTGAATCCAAAATGGATGAACAAAGGTAGATACTGTTTTCCTTATGGCAACCCTGATGTTTTCCAGATGTTGGGACTTTCAACTCATTTTGAGAACACAAGATTAAGGTAGAATGGCTTAAATGGCATTCTTAATTAACTCATCCTTATTTAAACCATAGTTTTCTAAGTTAACCCAGTTCCCTGGTTTAGCATGGAACACATGAAACCATAATGCAATTGGCCATGTGGATTCTAGGTTAGTCTTCCTTTGAAAACAGAGGAGCATACAGATCAGGGGTGGGCTGTGCTGGTTTGGACCGGTTCTAGCAAACCGGGACGAACAATGATCAGTTGGCCACACCCAGCACCTGCGCCCTATCCTGTCTTACATTTCCTTCTTTTGCAGCTCAGCTGATTTGCGTAGCAAAGTGGATTAATGCGCCTCAGCTGTTCTACTTACCGGGGAAAGCTAGAAGGTAAGCTGGAGAGGTTCAAATGTGTGTTTATTGAATGTTCCGCACATGCACAACATGCGAGTTAGTCACGAGTGCACGTGATCACAGAACTGGCATGTTAACTCATAAAATATTTCTCTGGTCTCTTAAGAGTTGCTAGCA